TGGATTCGTCTGAAAGAAGAAAGTCATATACACCTAGGATGACTTGAGGGTGAGTAATTTATGGGCTAATTTTCATTTTTGGGTGAACTAACCCTTTAATGCCACATGTGTTCTTCTGTGCGACTTCCTAGTGAAAAGATGAATTGTTGATGCTGAATTCATTTGACTGGTAACTTATTCTTCCTGATTTCATCTTATTATTTTAATTGAATATATTGTTTAATTTGTTTTTACAGTTTTTTTCAATTGCTAACAAGCGTTTACCAATACTTCAAGTACTTTTTCTAAACTCTTAACACAGCAACACACCAACATCACACAATTAGCTAAATAGTAAATTTTCTAGCCAAAACCACATTTTGTTAAATAAATACAAACTCTACATTTCAAAATGCTGAATACCTTTTTCTACATATACTAACTCTATCAAAACACAGCAAACCCGATTCAAAATCGAGTCATTCGGTCAAAACATTAGCACTACTTTTCTATCCAACAGGGGCATATAGTCAATCATAGCACAGTGACTGTCAAAATACTAACAGTGTCACAGTCTTCAGCGGGTGTGCCCAGGATGGCCACCAGATGACTGTTTTCTGTGAGCACATGGCTTGTATTGTGTTTGCTTTTGTTTCATTTTATTATTAAAGAAGGAACCATTCCTCCTGCACTTGAGTCCCCGCTTCCTCTATCCTCACGCACCGTGACAGAACGGATCAGCCTACATGGAGACTCAGCGGAGAATGGGCTCACACCGACTACCGGTCTCCACTCTCTCCAGCCCCCTCTACCAGCGCATGCTCCAGCTGGATACGTTGAGCTCCCTCCATCAACGGGGGACTGGGCTGAGGGAGTTCGCCAGGGAATTCAGGAATGCGGCAGAGGGGCACTCTCTCCAGCCCCCTCTACCAGCGCATGCTCCAGCTGGAGACCTTGAGCTCCCTCCGTCAACGAGGGACTGAGCTGAGGGAGTTTGCCATGGAGTTCAGGAATGCGGCAGAGGGGCTGGGCTACAATGACTCCGCGCTTAAGGACTTATTCAATTATGCCCTTGATGAGCCCATTAGCCCCTGGAGCATGGCAGGATCCGAGCATGTATCCTTTGAGAGGTTTGTGGAGTTCGTGGAGCGTTCCCCAGCTAAGGGGGCTGCAGCGCCTCCTGTGATGGCCGACAAGGCAGCAGCGCCTCCGAAGCGGGCCGATGAAGCTGCAGCGCCCCCAGTGGTGGCCGAAGAGGTTGCAGCGCCCCCAGAGGCGG